CCGCAGTTGCCGCGTCCTATTGGTCAAGGGGAGAGACTCGAGGCTCGCCTGTTTGAATCGCGCCCAATGGGAGATCGGGAGCGCCCGCCGGCTGGCCGGGGGGCGGGGTGGGAGGCGTTGGCCTTGGGCAGAAGCGCGCGTGCAGCGGCTGGGGAGGATGCCCTCTGCTCCGCTCCAAGAGCCTGCGGAGCCCTCGGGCAACACAAAGCGGACTTGGCCGCCTCAGGCGGGCGCGGGGAAACCGAGCTTCGGGTCACCGTCGCCCCTAGAATAAGTCTGGGAGCGGGGTTCCCCTCCCCATTCCAAAGCTGGAGATCCCGTCCCTGGGTCTGAGGGAGACAAGGGGAATATCCCCGTTCGACAGGACTTGTGGGGAAAGCCGTACTCCGTTTCCTCTGACTCCCCAAACCCTCGCACCCCTTAGCGTTCTCTCCAGCTGTTTGGGAGGACTTTGTGCCATTTTCCCAAGTCTCCCAAGGATGGAGTGATTTTTCGCTGCCCCCCCCCAAATTACCAAGGGGGCTCCCGGATTTCGGGGGGCTCACCCCCATCCTGCGCGGGCGCCTGGAGCCACCCTTACCTGCAGCTACCTCCGCGGTGAGGAGCAGGGCGAGGAACCAGCACAGCCTCATGCTCTCAGCTAGGCCCCGGCCCCGGCTGCTGTTCCCTGTTCGCAGTGTCTGCGCTGGAACCCCGGGCTTCGCGCAGCCCGGCGCAACTGCACGCGGGGCCCCAGTCATTTGAAGCATTTCAATGTGAGGTTTCTCATAGGGGGAGGAGCTTGCAGTGGGGTGATTTTCAAATATCTTCACCTCGCTGCTAGAGGAGGAGTTTCGAATAGCTGATGTGACAAGGCCCCTTAACCCGTGAAGCCCTGACTGGGATTCCAGTGCTTTCCAGTGCCGCTCCAGGGCAGGACCCTTTCTTTGTCGAAGTTAGGCAGCCCGTGAAGAGCTGAGCCTCCCCAAACTGGAAATGTGTCTCCTGAAAGATCTTCTTTAAATTTCCCTCAACTTTTCATTGCTACGTTTTTGGTGTCCAAATATGAAATGTCCTTCCAAAACGTCTAATTGGCTAGTGACAATCTCTCCTCTGCCTCAATAGGAAAAACTGGATGTTGGAAAAGTTTCCCTTTCATTTCTCTACTTGCCTTATGTAGATTTTAACTGAGTTTAGTCCTATATAGTTTTTTGATGGTTATTCCAAATCACAGTATAAACTGTAATCAATGAGGCATTTAAATAAAATCCTTACAGAAGTACAACCAAAAACTGATTTTGTCTTGTGGGATTCAGCACTTGGATGAATTATGAGCAAAAACATCTCTAAAACAACTGACCCATAAATATTGATTTATCCTTTTAGGAGAAGGAGATGAACGAGCAGGCCACTTCCTCTCCCCAAAGAAAAATCAAAACAAAGCGGAGCTTTCAGAGCTGAACCTCACTGCCCAACCCACAGAGGGCTGATGGAGAGCAGCTTTTAAGAATCAGAAGTCTTTTGGGATTTGTGCAGTTGCCAGTGGCCTCTGGCCAAAAAGGCTCACATGAGCATCTGGCAGTCTTGGAGAATTACCCCAAGAATGAGTGGAGTTCTCTGGGGTTTACAAACTGAGCATGGCAGGGCACACTAAGCTCTCAGTACGCTGGTGGAGAAACCCATGAGAGAAGGCAGAAAAGAGCCAGAGCCCTGGTTGGGTAGCTCAGTCGGCTAGAGTGTCGTCCTGAAACGCCAAGGTTGCAGTTCAATTCCAGTCTCAGAGCACATACAGGAATCAGCCAAAGAATGCATGAATAAGTGGAACAACAGATTGATGTTTCTTTCTCTCCTCTCTCTCAAATCAATAAATAAAAATTAAAAAGAAAAGAGGCAAAAAGGGACAATTGAACCTTCAGAAAGAAAAACAGTGATTATTACAGAGGAAGAAATTTATAAGCAGAGTGGTAATTAAGAGCCTCAACTTTGGAATCAGACAGACCTTGGGTTAATAAATTAGCTTTCACAACCTGGGAAGGAGAGAAAATAATGCCCTCTTCTCTTACTTGGCAAGTTCAGTGCCAGGGTCAAATGAGATAATTAGCGATCACCTGGGCAAGGATGGGCAGGTTCTGGGAGTTGCAACATTTATGAATGTGCCACCATTAAATTCCATTCCTGCCCTAGCCAGTTTTGCTCAGTGGTTAGAGCGCTGGCCCACAGATTGAAGGGTCTCAGTTTAATTCTGGAGAAGGGCACGTACTTTAGTTGCAGGCTCACTCCCCAGCCCTGGGTGGGGCACATAAGGGAGGCAACCAATTGATGTCTCTCTCTCAAATCGATGTTTCTCTCTCTCTCTGAAAAGCAATGGAAAAAATCCTCAGGTGAGGATTAAAAAAAAAAAAAAAATCCATTCCTTATACCATATGCTATGTTTCTTTTTTCAATCAATTAGGATCATAGGCTTGATTTCCCTTCAGAAAAATTATAAGATATAACATGCTCTGTTTCTGTGGTGAGCACAGCTTTCCCTTAACCATCTGATGGGGCCCTTCTCAATAGGTCTGGAAGTAATGACCAGGAAGGGGCTTTCTTCAGAAAGGAACTTAGCTTACTATGTCTCCAGAGCTAGTCCTGCTTAGATGTGAAAAGGGCCACAAAGCTCTGACAAGAACATTCCTGGGGTGCAAGGTCCCCAGGACAGCTCTCCCAAGTCTTCCATTTACCTGCCTGTGGAAATCACAAGGCCCCTTCTGTTCCTAACGCCACACATGGACATACATTGCCCCAAGGACAGGGTCACACGGATCAATTTCTCTACTTCTACCTCTTGGAGCCTCCATTGCTCTTTTGCAATTAGCTCAGAGGGTTATTAGGTAAATTTATATATACTTGGTATAATAAACATCTTATGTGGGTTTGATTGGGGGAGCTGTCTTAGTGTTGCAACTGCATCTTTTTTCTTCTCTTCAGGGAAGACTTTCTTTTTCCTAGGCACTTAAAAGTAATCTTTCTGTGGATCCACTTCATTTGAAAGTTCCTGGGCTTGCAAAATAATTTAAGACAACCCAACCTGCCTAGGCTGTTTCCTCATTCTAATGGACAGCCCGCCTTGTCCTGGCTTTCACCTCTCTAATTCACCAGGTGGCTCAGACTACAATAGTCTCCACCCGAGGAAGTCGGGCCTTTTGGCAGAGGTGAGCCATGGCAGATGTGGTCTGGCCTTTGGCCCAGCAGTCAGCAGAGAAAGGATGAGTAACCAACTGCAGGTGCCTTGGGGCTTTCCAGTAGGTGCAATTAGGGATCTGCCTTGGCTTGGTTGCCATCAATTATTTCCATAAAACACCCATTAGCCACGTGGGGGCAGAAACCATGGCTTATATCTCCAATACCTGTGTGTAGTAACGGTTAAATAAGTGAAAAATAAGAGCAAGTATGGGTGTGATTGCAACATGAGAGATGTGCTGTTTCTGAATTCCACTCTTCTTGAGATTTTGATAATTCGGAATTTAAATTTTGTCCTGGGCTGTCAGTCCTTCCTTTCAAATAGAACACCAGACTTGAAAACAAGCCTGTATTGGAGATATNCTTTCAAATAGAACACCAGACTTGAAAACAAGCCTGTATTGAGAACATTGAGAGAGCCCTAAGTCAGGGTGTGTGTGTGTTCAAAACTGAACAAGATATCACTTTGTCCTCAAAGACTTCAGAAGAGAGAACAAGGCAGGATATGTCTATGAACACGGGGCTGAAAAGTGCCTGAGAATGCAGAGGCCAATTTTAGCACAAAAAAAAAAAGTATATTTGCATTTAGTTCAAATCATTGAAAACATTCCTGTGGTTCAAAAATAAAATTTTATTTTTTTTAAGATCAAGAAAAAGGCAAGGATGCCCTCTTTCATCACTTCTGTTCAACAACATAGTATTGGAAATTCTAGATGCCATAATTTGGTAAGAAAAATAAATAAAAAGCATCCAATTAGAAAGGAAGATGTAGAAACGAAGAAGTTTTATGTGTAGAAAACCCTAAGAATATACACAGACACACACAGCTGTTAGAACTAATACATGAATTCAGCAAAGTTGTAGGATGTAAAACAACACACAAATAAACAGTTGTATTTCATACACTAGCAAAAAACAATCCAAAAAAGAAATTAAGAAAACAATTTCAATTATGATAGCACCAAAAAGAAAAAAAAAAATCTTAGGAATAAATTTAACCAAGAAGGTGAATGACTTATACATTAAAAACTAAAATATGTTTCTGAAAGAAATTGAAGACACAATAAAGGGAAAGACATCCTGAGTTCATGGATTGGAAGACTTAATATTGTTAATATGTTAGTATTACCCAAAGCAATCTACAGATCCCATTCAATCTCCATCAAACTCCCAATGATGTCTTTTGCAGAAAAAGAAAAAAAAAATCAACCCTAAAATTCATATGGAATCTCATCGGACCCTGAAAAGCCAAAATGATCTTAAAAAGAACAAATCTGGAAGTCTCATACTTCCTGGTTTTAAAACTTACAACAGAGTGATGGTAACCAAAACATTGTGGCATTGACAGAAAGACAGACATAAGCCAATGGAATAGAATAGAGAGCTCAGAAGTAAACTCTTGCGTGTATGATCAAATAAATTTCATTTATTGATTGATATTAGAGAGAGAGGAAGGCAGAGAGAGAGTCAGAGAGAGAGAGACAGAAACAGTGGTTTGTTGTTCTGCCCATCTGTGCATTCATTGGTTGCTTCTTGTATGTGCCCTGACCAGGGATCAAACCCACAACCTTAGTGTATCGGGACGATGCTCTAACCAACTGATCTACCCGACCAGGGCTTCTGTTTCTTCTTCTTCTTCTTCTTTTTAAATATAGCTTTATTGATTTCAGAGAGAGGAAGAGAGAGAGAGAGAGAGAGAAACATCAATGATGAGAGTCACTGATCGGCTGTCTCCCGCATGCTCCTGACTGGGGATTGAGCCCGCAACCCGGGCATTTGCACTGACTGGGAACCGAACCACGATCTCCTGGATCTTAGGCTGATGCTCATCCACTGAGCCACGCCTGGCCAGGCTATTTTTTTCTTTTATTGTTTAATTTTTTTAATTGATTTTTAAAGAGAGGCAGGGAGAGAGAAACATCGATGTGAGGGAGAACATCTATTGGTTCCCTCTGTACATGCCTCGACAGGGGATCAAACCAGCAACCTAGGTACGTGCCCTGACTGGGATTCCAACTGCCACATTTTGGTGCACAGGACAATGCTCCAGCCAACTGA